TCAGAAGTTATTACAAACACTCAATAGTGATTGATAGTGACAATTGAGTAGAAGTATTGTATTAATCTTATTAATTTTCATGTGTAGCTTGAAGATAATTGTCTGTTACCCGATTATATTTCATTATGTATCAAATCACATAAGTTTAAAATAAACTGTTTAATTTTCCAAAAAGATTTTTAATTGTAGTAATATAATGTACCACATGCTGATCAGAGGAGTGTGGGTGGGATGTAATGCCAGAGTAAAGCCACAACTTACACAACAGTGTTCATCTTTTTTTCCTGACAAAATCAATATAATGCAATATTTCTATCTGCTGAATGTAAGCTTTTCCATATTCCAAGCTTGCCTGCTGCACTGGGGACATCAAATGCATGTGCGAGTCGTGAAAATTATGAAAATAAATCTAGGTATTATTTGATTGTTGGATTTTAAATCAGCGGCGTTGAGGCATCAAAAGTAACTAACTAAGCTGTTTTATGGATGGTAACTGTAATATTTTTACTGAAATCTTATTAGTAATTAGTTACACTACTAATTACTGCAAAAAGTAAATTATTACAGTAACTAAGTTACTAGTAACTATTTACTACCCAACATTGGTCATCAGCCAGTCATTTCCCATCATGCTTTTATCAGCGCAGTCAGTGGAGAGCAACTGCACCCGACTGCGCAAAGCCGACCTCATACGTCATTCCCCCGGAACTGCTTCTGTTTACAACAGTGAGCGCAAGCTAGATTCAAGTGGTTATTACGTTTTGAATATGGATAATTTTCTTACAAAAACGCATCGATTTGCTACAGAAGGCCATTGTTCACCCCCCGGAGCCGTGTGAGACACTTTTTTTTTATGGAAGGGCGATTTTTATTTAAGTTCTTTTGGACTGAAGTAATGCAACACCCGCTGAGTGGCATTAAACAGCTTGAAAGATCAAAGACTATTTTTAATATAACTCCAACTAGATTCATCTGAAAGAAGAAAGTCATATACACCTAGGATGCCTCGGGGGCAGGGGTGTGGAGTAACGAATTACAAATACTCACGTCACAGTAATTAAGTAGTTTTTATCAGTAATTGTACTTTTT